GGAGGGGAACAGGCGGCACAGTCAGGGTATCGTGCGGATCCCTCCTGCCCCTCGATCAGCAGCCTGCAGGATCAGCTCCGCCCCTCCCTCCATCCAGGCTCCTTTTATTTTGGCTTCAATCAGCCTCTTCTAACACCTGCGCAGCGCAGTTAGTGGACTACGCCTCCTCAGACAACCGACTTCAGCCCAGCTTGGATTGTTAAAGAGGGAAAAGCAAAAACCAAAACAATCCAAACATGCAAAGCACAACAAAAAAATAAATAAAATAAAAACACAATCATGTTTTTTTTCCCTGGGAATGCAGTGTTGGTGCGTGCAACACGACCGCACAAACACTACATTCCCCACAATGCAACGGTAGCCTGTGAAGTCACAGCAGCGCGCACAAGCGGCCGTGGCCTGTGGGCCGGTTCTAACGTAATTAAATATCATCCAGGGGGCCGCGGAGAAACTATTTACGGGTCTTGACTTTGACATAATGTGCCCTAAAAGGACACTGAAGGGAAAAAATTAACTAAATTTCTCATAATGATAAAAAAAAAAAAGATAAAATTAGAAATACATCAAAAATATCTTAGAACCTTCTAAATAAGGTGACCATTTTTATTTATTCTTAAAATATTTTTTGCAGTAAAAAATATTTTTGGGACGTGAAAATTTTTTGGGACGTGAAAATTTTTTATTCTTTATTTAAACTCTTCCTGATTGATTTATTTAGCGACAGTTAACATTCGTGATAAACGTCATTTAAAAAGTCGAGGAATCTAGAGATCTTTTAAAGTAAATAACTAAACTCATTTTCATATTTTTAGCTCCTCTGAGCGACTGAACCCATTTACACTGGAAAAACGATCTAGAAATAAGTAAAAATGTCCTAAATTAAGTGTATTTACCCTTAATTTGAGTAGGTAAATGAGAAAGTTTGACAATGGAATGAGGATTATTACTCTTAAAATAAGATAATTAGATAATATGCACTTGAAATAAGACAATGCAATTGTTTTTTTCTTATTTTAAGTGTAAATTGGCAAAATGTCTCTTTTATCTCCTCAATCCAAGGAAAATGCACTTATTTTAAGAAAAAATGACTGATCTAGATTTCGATTTTTTTCCATTTAGACTGTTTTGCTGCTGAGGTGCTGATGTTTGGACCAGAGGCAGAGCCAGAAAATGTTAATAAGGCTGGCCAGGCGATAAGCAATGTACACTGAAAAAAATTAACTATACTTTCCTACAGCCTTTGATATCAAAGAGATGCATATATTTAAACATCCTTGATGTCTAAATTAAAGGCGTAGCAGACCAAATACTTTCAGGTTTGAGTTCTGGAGCGAACATCTTAATCATCGTCATTACTTACATACTTTTATTAATAATCGTTCTGCATAAAATTAATATTTATTAAATGGATTACTTATTATTAAAGTAGTTATTTATTTCTGATT